AGGAGATCGATGTGAATGATAGTCAGTCAGTTTTAGAAACCAGGAGCCGCCCCTGTATTTATATTATTATACTATACTCGCCTCGGATTGGCACGTTTTGACCTGCTGCTACAGGTTTATTGACAGACTCGACCGAGGAATTAATCGTTTCGGGTGCTGAACAAGAAAGACAACCTTGTTAGAAAAATAAAAGAAGAGAACCGCACTGGTTATTTCTCCTTCGTGCTCACTTGGTGATTCAGAGCAACACCATTGATCAGCATTACTGTGAAGAGATTTATAATACAGGGTGATCCCAAAAAAAACTTTACAACTTGTTTTGTAAATATCTTCCTCCATACTGAAGTTTTGCCTTTCAAATTTGAACTTAACGTTTGGAAGCCAAAAGGAATTTGTCTGATATGTATTTTAGATAAGTACATTGAATTGTTTTGCTCTATATATAATAGCACATTAAGAAAACAACCCATTTTCAACCTTGTCGCCGTTTTCATAGCATGACGCACCAGTTTGCATTAGGCCTACCACTAAAAGTTCCAACAATCACGCCAAATGGAAAGCTACAGCTGTCTAACAAGTCAACAGAAGTCTGCAGATATTATTTTTCCCAAATTTCGTTTGCCTGCTTAGATCATGGTTACGTTTTGTAAAGAGCAGAGAGCCTTTTGTATTGAGCATTACCTCTCCACAAACTCACCATCCCTGACATTTCATAAGTTCTGCGCACGGCATGTAGAGAATGCTTGGGGGCCCACAAGACCTTTGGCGTCTTGAGTAGAGAAGTTCCGTCAGTTTGGATCTATAGCGAATCAGGACTAAAAAGTTCTTTTTAAAATGACTACTTAAGGTTGAACACGCACCATGCGCGGCCCTTTAAACGTCACCAGAGTGAAGATTTCAGTAGCTGAGTCCCATGAGACGTCTGTCCGTGGATGATCTGCAGCTAGGACTTTCCTACACATCAACAATCTGCATTCTCCTGGCAGATCTTAACCTTCGACTATACCATGTTCATCTTCGCTAGGCCGAGATGGCATGGATCAGAGCATGGCAAAGTGTTCATGTTTCCTCGATTGTCTTGTATAGAGGGATCATTTCCTCGATGACATTTGGTTTAGTGCAAAGCCCTTTTTCACCCTGGGGGATATGTTAACTCCAAAAATGCTGTCTATTGGGCACCTCACTCTATTGTCTTTAAAAGCCACTTCTTAGTGAACATGTACAGTGTATGTGGCTTTAAGAACTCATGGTTTAGCAGCTCCTTATGTTAGGGCGCCACTGAACATTTCGAACGACGCGTTAAAAATGTGTTGAGTCCAAAGGAGGGAATGTGGAGCACTGCTTCTAGGAATTTCAGATGAAATCATTAGGTTTTTTAAACTCTGTTAAAGAAATTAAATATTGTTTAAATGTCACAGGGATGGAAAATTAATGCCAAAGAGAAAATAAAGAAAAAGATCAACTAATCTTTTCACGACTTCCATTACACGATTTTTAAACATTG